ATTACTTTTTCTAATAACTGTAAAGAGTCATAACATATTTACAATAATTTTATACGTAAAATCAAAAACATTATTTTGGAGCTTTTTTATTGTGGAAAAACTTAAATTATTAAAAAATAATAAATATTATATATTTTAATAATTATATATTTTACAATATTTTTAAATTTTAATTACTAATTAATAAAATCTATCATATTTCATCTATAATACTTTTAAAAAATAAATAACCAAACATCAAAATAACTTTCAGCCATAACTAAGTACAGTCACGATTACAGTGACAATCACAGCACTTCACAACAATTCCAAACGCACCCTAATTTTGACATACAAGACAACATGCAGCGCGACTTTGATTTTTACAATAAGATGAATGCGATGGGAGCACCAACTGATTGCATTGATTGATTCCATGAGGTTCACTCCCAACAGCAATGTCTATGACTTCATGGGGGTTAGGTTGTTTAGAAAAAATGTCTCACATTCCGACCATTATCTAAGAAAACTGGTTCTGATGACAACAGAGGAAGCCAGGAAAATTATTGAAACTGGTTCTGATTGGCACAATGAGGACAATGGTTGTGTTGGTGTTTCTTTTTAATTCTATGCATTGGCATTCTATTAATAATTTATTTTTTTTAAGAATATTAGTGGTTTTGATTATTCAAAAATAACAATCTACCATGCACAATGCTTTATGATAATATCAGAAAGGTTAATGATACATTTACCCCATAATCTCACATCCTTAACCACACACAGTTGGTCTACTTAATAAAATATATATATATATTTTTTGTAGATTCTCCCATCCTTGCTTATCCAAATTCCATTCAAACTGGGAAAATTGCCAAACTCATCGACAACAATAGTTCCTTTGATGTTGGAAAATCTTGATGCCATAACAAGAGTCCCATTCATCCTCACCTCCATGAGAGTAAGATGGAGTCCTTGGGGTTTGTTTGTTGAATATATGAAAACAATTGATCTCATTGTAAAAAGCTTTGATTTGAGAAAGGATTCATAGATCTCACTCTTGTTTCGACCTCTCCCTTCCCCATTGTCATCCAGACGGGCTTGCCCCTAGCCAAAAGCATGCGAAAGAGACAAGAATTCTAGCAATTTTTCTTGGCCATGTCCTTTAATTTCTAGCAAAAAATAGCCATGGTCGAAAAAGGGCAAAAGTGGACAATTTTGGCCTTGTACAATTCGGGGGTAAAGAGGAGAGAAAGGAAAGCAATTAGGGTTTTTGAGGATTTCTTGTATAAATAGGAAGGGGGATCTGAGGAGATTTTGGAGGGGTTTCAACCAACAAAAAAAAGGGGGTGAGCCCAACAAAAAATAAAGGGGTGAGCCGACAAATCTAGCCAAAAAAAAAAAAAAAAAATCAAAGAAAGGAGGCTGGTGGTTTAAAGTGCTGATTTTTTGAGTTTTCCTCCATTCTGGATGTGGGAGAAGAAAAAAGGAGAGTTGGAGGTTTTTGGGTGTTGATTTTTTGAGTTTTTCCCCTCCATTAATCTAGGATTTGGGAGAAGAAAAAAAGAGAACTGGAGGTTTTTGGGTGCTGATGTTGGTTTTTGGGTGCTATTTTTTGAGTTTTCTTCCTTCATTTTGGGATTTGGGAGAAGAAAAAAAGAGAGAGGGGAAGAAGAGGAACATAAATGGCTCTTGTCAAACTACTATAAAATCAATATGTTTGGAAACACAAATAAACCAATGCGGTATAAATTGGCATAAGTTTAAGCTATTCTACGTTAAAAGATCGAACTGTGAAATATTAATTTTTTAAAGAGAGTGTGATCGGAGATGTCAAAATTGAGTGTGAATAAATTATCGTCCTATAAAAAATGTTATAATTATAAAATTATTATGTAAAATTATAAATTTATTATCTAAAATTATAAATTTATATTAATAATGTGATAATAAATGAAAAGATATATACAATATTATATTTGGTTTCTTAAATAAAAATAGTCAATACATTGTGACTATTTTATTATAATAATAATAAAAGTTGAAATGCATGAGCTTAATTAAATTGAATTGATTGAGGTATTGAGTATATAAGTGGGCATGCTTGTAGCTTTAAAAGCTTGTTTGGTTGGGAAACTTTTTCCTCCAAACTTGACTCTTATAAAGTTATTTTTGTAGTTTTAC